GGCTAAACCACAACACAAATATAAGAGGAAAATCATCATTAAGCCCCGGAAAAAATACTGTGCCAGATTTGGGCTGCATCTAACACTTTGAATAAGGGAAATGAAAGAGCCCACGTTAGCCAGGCTTTTTCCATTGTAAAAACCTAGGGCAATAAAAGCATGTCTATACGGCCACGAGCCCACGTGGACTCATAGGAGGGGCCGTTCAGGGTCAACGCCTCCAGCAGCCCGGGCAGAGCGGTCCAGCCCTGGTGCCGCGGGAAGCTCAGCTGCAGCAGCCTTGTGAGAACAGCTGACCCGAGAGCAGTTCTACCCCCGGTGAAGCGCTTTGATGTGGCGATCAGCGTGATCAGCCTCTCCCCACCGGCACGGAGGGCTCCCAAGCCTCCCCGGCTCAGACAAATCACGGGATGTGTTTCACCTGCGGCAGCAAAGAGCTCCCTGCAGCCCGTACCCCAGGGGACGGAGGCGGCCGCTACTGCCGCCCCCCCGGGCTGTGCCTTTTGCCGGCTCAGGCCACGCATGTGTCTCCGCACCTGCACCCCTTTCTGGCAGCCGCCACATCTTCCTCACCCACCAGCCCAGGTGCTCCAGGAGATGCCGGAGCAAAGATGGACTGGCTTTGGCAAACAGATGCCAAGCTGTCACCGGGCGTCTTCTTTTTAAAAGAGACTTTACTGTGCCAGATTTTATGACTTTCACTGCCTAATTACCCCTGGTATCAGACAGGCTCCTAATGACTAGACTTTGCTTACTGCTTCAGCTTTAACCCTTTAAATATTTAATGTTTCATTACGTTATTTGGCATATATACATATTGCCTTCCATAATAAGTCATTGGACCTCTTGAACTTCTAATTTCACTAAGTTTATTAACTACTTTTCAGCTTTTATTGATGTCGATTCTGAATGTAGTAAAGAGGATTTCTAAGAGGTCACTCTTATTTTGTCTCAATGCTCTCGTGCATTTAATTGCTTTCTATTGCCAATTTCCTTTTCTTCATCATTAACAAAGTAAACATCTAAACAGTAACATTTAAGAGGTATTGTCTGTCCTTGCAGCCAAAGAGAGAGCTTTCCTCCTGAAGACACATTTTCTGAATTGGAACAAATCTTTTTATAAAATCACAGTGACTCCTTGTTCGTTCACTGCATAGTCCAATGGCAGAAAAATCGCTGAACTTGGCTTCGTGTGATCTGTAACACCACGACCAGTTTTCTTTTTGCAGCATGAGCTCCAACTGCATAGGTAATATTTTGTTGACCATAAGTAAGCCCAGATATTATTTTGCACTAAACTCAAATACTAGTTGGAAGATTCCTCCGCTAATCACTAGACACAATGTACCTTGCCACTCTGGAGATTTCTACAATTTCTTAGTTGTAACTCAGTTCAGCATGCTGCTATCAAGTTGCAATTTTCTTTTTGGCTCCGAATTTCAGAGCTCCTTCCTTCCTTACTTTATGTCACATTTATAAGACTGACCACATTATTTTTTTTAAGCAATTTAGTATTGTTTCAGATCAGCATACACAATTGCTAAATGTGCTTAAATCCAAGGCAAGCATTTCTGCACAGAGTTTTTTCACATCTTTCAGCAAATGCTTCAGCATCGATTTTTGTTTACATGAAGACGTTCTGATTATGAATCCTGTTTTACCTGTTTGATTACCTTCTGCTGATTACTCGCCCAAGCCAGACATGTAAACATCACAAGCTACATCCCAGCAATTTATGCAAAATCCCCACTGACAAAAATGCCAGAGCAGGCCACACCATTAGATCAGGATCTGACCCACCCACACATGACTCACTATGTCAAATAACACGGTACCGTGCAGTTTGTGGTTCATACTTAAATGACGAGCATCTTACAAGCCACTGAAAACAGGAGGTTATTTTTCTTAAAAACAAACACCTAAAAAGATCAATCCATTTCACCTCCCCGTTTCAAAATGAAAAAATATTTGCAGGAGCTTAGTCACAAAGCCAAATTTCTAAAGAGTCAAGGGTGTCAAATCCATCTGCTTCAGCAGTGGTTGCAGTCCACCAAGGGCTGCAGTGCATGGTAACCTGGGCTCCATGAGACAGCTTAAATGTCCTCATGGCATCTCAAGGCTGATGTTCCTACTTACAAGACCAGTAGCTGAAGCAAGAGGGAAAAAGACTTGGATGCTGCTGGTTGCACAGACAAGCCATTCAGAAGAACTAAGCTGCCCATGCTCCCTCCTGCCTCGGCCATCCTGCTTCACCATGCTCTTCCTAACCCCACAGGGGTTTTCAGCTTTTATCAAGTAGCAGATTCCTCAAAGTGGCAACATGGAGCGCTGCACCAAGAACTGACACCTGATGGTGACAAAACTGTGGGGTTTTAAGTGAGTTGTGCCCAGACTGCTCCCAAGCAGCCTGCAGAGCCCTGGAAGAGTTGAGAGGACCATGAACTGCCCATGGCAGTCAGCACTCACAGTCCCTTCCTCCAAGTACACGTATGATGCTGCAAGTCAGAAATCACCATCCAATCTCATGTGAACTGACGGCTCCACAGGCAACTTACAATTTCTCCCATTTCTTCCCATAAATAAACTTCCGGATCAACAATTTGCTGCACTAATCTGTAAAGTGGTAAACTATCATTCGTGACTGTAACCCACACTCGTTCAAGGTGGCAAAGGCCATCTGAGGTCGCCAGTGCCCTCATCTCAGAAATCATAAGGTAGGAAATGGAAAAGACAGAAGAATACAAATGATGACATTCACAGATGAAGGAAGAAATGCCATGTTCTGAAAGGAGCCCAAGTGACATTTCTAGACCTAGACTATGGCATTGCTAATAATGACGCTACAAATGTTGACCTTCAGTGATAAATGAGAAGAATTCAGAAATTAATACCTAGGATTTTGTGTATTTGTGGAAGTCTCAACAGTCCTCTGCATAAACCTATGCCTGGACAAGGACACATTGCTGCTAAAGCACAGCAGCAACACAGAACTGCGTTTGCAGCACATTTGCTCACTTTCTGTACAATTCCTCCTGCTGAGCTGGAAGGCATCATCATCTGTCTCGCCTTAGTTTCTCCAGTTGCCTGCAGTCCCCTCCTGGTTTAATTTTCCTTAAGCTTGGCCTTTAGCAGCTGCCAATATTTGTCTGCTAAGAATATGGAATGCTCTAACAGGATGGCTCTGCTAGAAAGGACAGGGTTTCCTGAAGGTTTCATTGAACTCATTTTGAAGCTTAGTTTTTGTCTTGAAGAACACTGTTTGGAACTGAGACCGATGCTCTTTTTTAACAAGCATGTCCCAAAGGTGACAGCACGCATGTTTGTAAAGCTATGCAAATTTCTCTAAACCAATGGATATCTATATTATTGTACAGAAGTATTAGATGCCAAAAGGCATAAATGAGTAATTCCCCTGATGTTTTCAAACCCTGCAACCACCTCAAACAAATTAAAGACAATGAATAGCTTAACTTTGTTGCCAAAAATGCAAATTATAATCCTTGTATATCCTGCTCCACCTTAAATTATCAAAGGTTTATAGTACCTACTTATTTTTGAGATCGTCTTTCCAGGTGCTACAGTTTTTTTCCTGTATAAACTATCTATCTGCTCTCCGGTAACGTATGAAATACGTTTGCTAGAATGGAAGGTCATGCTGGTTAGTAGGTGGATTTGTGTAAGTACTCTACACTTTTATCATAGAATGGTTCGGGTTGGAAGGGACCTCAAAGATCATCTAGTTCCAACTCCCTGTCATGGGCAGGGAAACCCTACACTACACCAGGTTGCCCAAAGCCTCATCCAACCTGGCCTTGAACACTTCCAGGGATGGGGCATCCACAACTTCCCTGGGCAACCTGTTCCAGTGCCTCACCGCCCTTTGAGTGAAAAATTTCTTCCTTATATCTAATCTAAATCTCCCCTCTTTCAGTTTAAAGCCATTGCCCCTTGTCTTATTACTACATGCCCTTATAAAAAGTCCCTCCCCTACTTTCCTGTAGGCCCCCTTTAAGTACTGGAACTGCAATAAGATCACCCCAGAGCCTTCTCTTCTCCAGGCTGAACAGCCTCAACTCTCTCAGCCTGTCTTCATAGAAGAGGTGTTCCAGCCCTCGGACTGGCATATCTTGACATTTAAATAGTTTTCCAGCATGTGCTTCACTTCAGAAAGCCTCTCGTATGCTGAACCACTCTGTGACATCTTGTGCATACATTATGTTGTATAAAATACAATGACTGTGATAATGAAATATTTCAGACTGTTCACTTTACTTACTTTTCACATAGACGTTAAATGTTACAGAGGAACTGGCATCAGAATTGGACACAAAAAATGTGTAAATGCCTCCTTCTGTTCCTTTTAATCGAGTAAGGTGAAGTTCACTTGTATAACTGCAAAGAAAAAAATTAAGCATTACTGATGCTCACAACTTGAAGCAAACAGGGAATTGCTGCATGGAAGCTTAGGAGTGAATTAATAGCGTGCCGTCTTCTTCTGCAGACACTGTCCCTGCAGACACTCTTATCTTGCATTAGGACTGCCCTGGTACTACAGCATCCAAAAGTTCCGCCACTCCTAACACCCAGCTGTGTGCCCGCATCACAGCTCAGCACCTTGTGCATGCACCATCACCTGCTCCTTTTCTCAATGAGGAGGGAATCCAGATACACAACCCAGGCCACACATCTTAGATGCCTCACTGGGTATTTGGAGGACTGGGGCTTAGGAGAGAGCAGTGCAGAGCAGAAGTAAAAGCATAAACTTTTGTCCACAGCATTGGCTTCTGCTGTGGTGGTGGAGGGAGTCTTCGCACACAAACAACTTTAAATTCTTATTTTTGCTTGTTGGGCAGGAATGGCATCTTACAGGTGAGCTGTGGGTATGTGGCACACTGGTCCTCAGATGATGGGGATAGCTCAACGTTATTCCAAATCTAGGTCAGCAGACTTTGCAAAAGTTACTGCAGTAAGCCATGCATACTATAAGATCTTTTGTAATCACAATTTTCTTGCCATCTCCACTTTTCTCTTTCCAGAGCAGACTCTAGTTTGCTGTTCCAAAGTGAAATCAGTAGCCCTTAAAGTCATTCATATTACCTGTTATTGCCCACAGTCTTGAACTTGACATAATGGTCCGATGAATTCTGTAATGTTTCATTCATGTACATCCAGACTTCTTCCTTTGGTTTTGGATATGCCTCATATTCAACTGTTAAATTTCCATTTTGTCCTGCGTTTATATCTATTGTGGTATTCATTGTCGCAAACAAACGGACAAATCCTTTAGCTGATGGCCATAAGAGAAGAAAAACAATTTCAGGGTGATTTAGAAGATAGTCAGTGCTCTAACCACACTTAGACTACTTCAAGATCAGTGATCAAACATCTAACTGTGAAACAGGAAACCTTATCTGCAAAGCAGAACTTGAACCCTCATCTGCCAAAACCAAGGCCATTAGCTATATATAGCAATGAGGCACAGGACTTAGAGCAGCCTTGAGTGCCCTAACAGAAATAATTCCATCTTCTGGTGATAAATACCCTCTATTTGCTTTTGGAAAAATGCAAGCACGTGTTTGATTCTACTCAAGTATTTATGTTTTTCAGAAAATTAGAGTCGCTAACTGTCTGGTACGAAAGAAACACTAAGAAAAAAGCAAGACAAACTGATCATTTATTACAATATATTAGAATATTTAAGGTTTCTTTGTCAAGTGTAATTAAGAACAACATTACGAATGAAGCTATTAAAAACTGTAATTAGAGAAAAATGTGCTAAGTCCACAGGCCTGGATACCAATTGTCTTAAACTAAGGCATTTTTGTTCATCTACTGCTGGGTCTTAATCTTTTATTTGGCAGATATCATTTATCACTGTGCAGTTCCGTTTCAAAATATCACGTGGAACATCCTTACTGTAGTGGTTTTAATTTCATTAATAAACTCATCAGCTTCAGGATTATTCACTTTGAAAAGACAAATTTTTCAGTCCTATTACACAAATTCATAAGGGATTTATCAGTTTGACAGGCAGATTGCAATTACAAGGAAACACATTTACTGAAGGAGCTTGAATTTAGACCAAAAGTCAATCTCAGATCCCTGCTTCTTCCCACTTTCTAGTAATCAAACTGCTGTGGCCAGCTGGGCACCTGAGCTCAGGAAACCAAAGCCAGCGGCACTTCATGAAAGCATATGGAGCTGCCAGAGCACTTGACAGCTGCTTCGGAGAAGAAAGGATGAAGTAAACTCACAGCAGGCAGGTATACTCTAAAACATTCTCCATCGTTAGAAAAGAGAAAAAGGTTGTAAATCTGGAAACTGAAGACATTTAGTTCCTTCATAGAGTCTTTTTCTATTTTCTGTATAAACACAGGATCTCTTATGCAGCCTAGATTCAAAATCGTACCTGAAAGCCTGCAAATAAAATTTTATGATTGCACTATCAGTCCCCAAAACACAGTTCTAGAAACTGCTTACGGTTAGATAAATTAACTGTTGAAAAAAGTAATTCAGAAATTTACCAAAAATACCCATTATTTCTTGTAAATCTTTTGGCTAATGTTAAAGCCGCAGCGATTTAGGATCTGATACAATCCCAGGATTTCTCCTGTACATGTCATACACCACATCCCAGGACCCTGGGAGCTAGCATAGTTCAGGTAAATATAGTCACTTTGACAAGGAATGGTGAAAGGGATCCAGGAGACAGTGTTTATTGTATTTTAAGTCAAATTTGAGAGGGTAGGGAGAGAAAAGTATCTTGAAAAAGAAAGATTCCAGCTTTTTTTATAATGCCGTGCTTTACTTTAGTCTCCAGACCTTCCAAAGTCAATCCTTTTAAAGCCACATTTGCATACATAATAGTCATAAGAATTTCTGTAGTTAAGAATTTCCCTCCTCTTATAACAAAAGCTTTCATATTGTTCCCCTTGGAGAAAAGGTTTTCTTTCATACTTCACACAGTTTCACTCTTTTACATACGATTTAGTCTGTCCTGTAAAAAAATGAGGAAAATATCCGCGTCATTATGAGCCCTATCCCCTTGAACGGCGGAGCAAGGTTAAGGGCACTTGAACCTCTGCTGCTCTGCTGAAGATCTGACCTGCGTAGGTCAAACACTTCTGTTTTCTATAAGTTACCAGGGAAAGCAAAACAAGCAACGTTGCAGGAGTCTCTGTGCAACAGAAAAACAGACTTGAAAAGGAAAAAGGATCCAAGGCTATGCTTCCCTCAGTTACTACACCCTTGAACGATAAGGAACTGAAAACGGTTGCAGCCAACTACACAGGCTTCTTCAGAATGATCTTCTTAACTATACCAACATGTCCTTAATTGTCCTTAATTTATCAAATTAGCAGGTTTTGGCAGCTTTAAAATTCAAAAGGCACCGCGTGTCACCCACGTTAATATATAGCACACTCTAAATGAGTCTATTATTAAACAAGAGGAGAGAGGGAGTTCGCTCCCTGTTAAGGGACACGATCCAAAAAGGAGAGTGAGTTTACCACGGGGGTGAACTCTGTCTATGCACACTGCAGTGCTCCTCACGGCATTATTTTAAATAGAGGTACATGTATAGCTTCTACATAAAAAACATTGGCACGCTGATGTCAGCAAAATTTCCCGTGCTCGGAAGGCAGGTATTAAGGATACGCTTTGTGCTTGTGCTGCCAAATTACTTATGCGTAGAGACAGTACCAGGCAAAGGTAAATTACTTGCTTCGTTAAGACTGGATTAAATTTAAATTTAAACCAGGAGGGATGAGACAAACCAGAGAGATGGAAACACTGTTGGGTGGTTGTTCTAATATCGCATTCCAATAACGCGCAAAGGGTTAGAAAAATTGAAGTAGTCATACACACCAATAACTTCCTGAGGCATCCCATATGGTACCAGTCAGCAATAAACGTTTAATAAAGCAACTTTACTCATTGAGGTTTGAGGGGAAGGAGAGAGAAGGAAGGGATCTCCCACTCTTAGAAATGTTAAGATTTCTACAAGAACTATTTACCTAGTGCTTTCAAGGTTACTGTGACATTGGTTTTTCCGAAAGGGTTTTCTGCTTGGCATGTGAATTCTCCAGAATCATTAACTCCCACTGAACGGATGTTCAATGTTAATTTCCTTTCGTATCCATAATCACCCAAATTTCTGCTTTTGCTTGTAACAATCTGTCGGTAAAAAACAATTAACATCTAAAACACTGTGTATGCAGCATCTTTCCCAGATAAATTAAAAATAGAAGTAATTATAACTTTGCTATATTAATATTCATAACTTTAAACCGGAATAATAAGCCAGCACGACAAACCTGCCACTAGCATCTCTCCATGCAAAACAAGTGTGCGATCAGCTGTCTTTGGGAGATAATGTCCTCTCCTAAGTCCTCTCCCCTCCCCTTATTCTTTATTTTTTTCCTCCTCAAGTTCCACTGCAAGGCAAGAATTCGTGTGTGTATGTGCGCGCGTGCACTCAGGTGTGTTCACCTGCCCCAAGAGAGACAAACATGAGACCAGCTCAAGCCACAAAGCTGAAACCCTAATTGTCGGGGAAGTTTCCTGGCTGCTATATGGGAAGCACCTGTGCCTTGTTGAGACAGGTGCTGTGAGTCACGGTGGTCAGCTGGAGACCACGTGACCTATGGGAGGTTTAAAGGTGGGGCACTCCCAAGAGGGAGTGGGGCATTTCTCTCCTAGAGTGTGGAGTGGTAGCAGCCCCTGGAGAGCGGTGTTTTGTAGCTCTCTGTTAGAAGTCTTTGATTGTGGTATAGACCTTTGGAGTGAAACAAACCTTCTGATATACGAGGGGAATCACAATGGCCTTCTGGGTTGTGATTCCTGAAGATGAGATACCAGCGGTCCACGACACCTAATTTCTTCAAATATTTCAATCATATGGAGAAAAGGGTGTTGTGCTCAAGGTCAGACCCAGCATGCTCTGGGTAAATTTCCAATGCTGACAAAGGTGAGGAACCGTCAGAAGGTTTTATTTGCATTAACAATGCTTCTAGCTGTAAGGTTAGATGCAAAATGACCACTGGGTCTTGACTTTCCCAATGCTCAGAAGCTACAGCTACTGTAAAAAGTCGTTGCAGCTCTGAAGCATGGTTCACCACTCAAGTGGTGCCTATAAATTACTGCACTCTCTAATGATTGCAATGCTTCCCAGTAAGTGACAAGAGAGAATTTAAGGTGCTGCAGCTTCATTTTAAACTGGGTTGCTCTATGCCCCGAGTCCACAGCATCTCCTCATTGCAGACATGCTGCAGAGGGACCTGCCAGCAGCAGGCTTTACACGGCATCCTTCATGTGGTACCCACTCTGATTCTTGGTCCACAGCAATCCAGATTTATTAACCTTAAAGGCAACTGGAAACTTCATTCTCTTTTCAAAGCATTAAGTACATCATGACTCTATGCCTATGTATACATAGAAAAAAATAAATGCTTTGAAATGTCGACTTTAGTTTCTGGGAGAATGCTCGGTGTGGTTGGAAAGACTGATAAATTTACATTGATTAATCCGAATGCAAACCTAGACTTGTTATGATTTTCTAGTAGAATGATTTCAATTCTTGGATGTTCCAAGAGTTTCTAGATAAATTTAATCTTCTCAACACAATTTTGATTCCTCTTGAGCTATAACAATCACAAACAGAAGGTTTTTTTGTACGGATGTGCCTGCTTATAACAAGTCTCCTAATTTTCAAAATTGGTAATAACTTCAGTCATATAAGGAAAAAGCATTTTAAGTTTTTTTTCCTCTCACCTATTCAGGACAAAACATCATTTTGCATCAATTTCAACATGAATTTTATGAATTCTGTTTCGGTACAAAATTTAATTTAATAGTCAACATTAAAAAGATAGTATCCCCTGCTATTTACCAGAAAGGACAGAAAGGTCAAACTTATTTGGTCAAAAATATTTCTTCATGGCTTTTATCCATAAAATGAAAAGCGAAAAAGCACAAAAACTTGAGGAAAGGCCCCAATTTCATCACACTGTAACAAAGAAAAGGGAGGGGAAACAGAGAAGAAATGAAGTTCTCAGATGAAGGACTTGCAGTTGACCTTGGCACAGGACCAAAAGCCCCATCTGCATGTCCCACGCTGCCTTCGTGTCATTTAGACCTCCTCAACTTTCGGAGATGCGAGGTGGGATTTCTGGAGCAGCAAGCACTTAGCGAGAGCTGCTCTGCCAGAGCCAGCAGATTAGCTAAGCATGGCATACCCAGCCCCAGGGAACGGGCCTCCCGCTCACTATCTGCCTGAGGAAATGCAGTTTATCCAAACATCACAGCGTCACAGAAGTCTTTTTTTCCATACACATGTAGACTGCAAATTATGTATTCTGCTCACTACCATTAGCAGCAAAAGATCAGCCAACTACCATGGGACCGTATATACGGGGCGGGTAGGGGAAGAGTTACTAACAGGTCTTCACAAGGGCTTTTAATTAATTTAAATCTCAGGGTATACCCAGAAGATCACGAAGCGTCCTCAAAAACAACCCAGTGCCTGCTGCTCGTTTCAAAGGCAGAGCTGGCACAGGCTGGCTGACCCAGGGAGGGGATTTCTCTGCCCCTCGTCTACAGCATAGCTGCGCTGCCAGTAACGAACTCTCCTGGAGCACTTAGCCTGCCAACGATTTAATTTGGTGATGCCAGGCAGTAACTTAGATCATCTATTGCTACAGACAGAAGCCAGTTCACTGGTTCATTTTTCAGAAGTTTCCCAGTTAGCGAGGCACACCATGTAATTTAAATGAATTAATCATTCCTGCGAACGCTTACTACTATTCCTGTCACATACAATCCCATGCTAATTAGAAGGTATTTTACTGTTAATGATAACGACTAGAATATGTAATTTGCAGTCCATGTGTTGATATTTGCAGCTCCCATTGATTGCAATGTGATGTGTAGGCACTCCGTGCTTCCGTATTTAGGCAGCCCATCAGAGGTCACCTAAACCTCACATTGAAGAGCCTAACTTTCATTTCTGCTTGAGAAGAAAAGCCTGTGCGGATGCTTCTCCTCCCAGCCATCCTCATGGGCATGGGACAGCTGTTGCCAGCCCCTCACCAGTCTGCGAGATGTGGGACCTTTGGAAATGCAGCAAATCCAAACTGATCCAGCATCAGGTATCCAAGACAAGCATGTGAACACCTACAGAGAGTTTGTATACTGTGCGTATATGATACAATTAAAGGAACTCACCCCACTTTTGTGAGAAATCCAACTAGCTCGTACGCTGCTATCCACGTCCGTGATTATGCATGTAACTTCAAACTCTTCCCCTTCTTTGAGAAGCTCATAGCTTTTAGATAAGGTGATGACAGGAAGAGTTTTGTGAACTGGAAAACAATTTAAAAGTGCATTACTTTTCATTAGCTTCAGAGCTTCCAAGGAGGGATGAAAATCAACAGTCATTAACTTCCCAATAAAATTTCAGGCCTCCAAGAGGTATTCAAATTTCTTTAACATATTACACAGTTGTTCCTTTACAACAAGCACATTTCTGCTTCAACCTCCCTTCAAATTACTTTCAAAGTCAGATAACACTTGTTAGAGCATAGCGACTTGCATGAAGAAACTTGAAAGACGTTGAATCGTCAATGAGATGATTCATTCCATGACAGTGATTTAAAAGTTGCACTCTGGAACCTAAAACATAGTGAGGTTCAGCCACTGAAGAACTGCAGCCTAGCATTAACTGCAACTTTTAATTACAAATTACTACAGCTGACACAAAGTACTGTCCTACAGCCCCTGAAAAGCCCCTGACGGACAGCCTAGGAAGGACAGCTACAGCTCAAGGACTTCAGCACACCTGCCTCTGAACGCATCCCAACCTCTGCTCACGGTGATGGTTGACAGAGGTGGCTGGAGCCAAGACCATGGACAAGATCATCACCCAAGAGGTAGGTGGTTACAAGCAGCCGTGGGTCGGCTGTACCCCCGTTCTGCTTCAGGGTGTCTTTCATCAATAGTCAAGTATATTTCAGGACTATAAGTCTCTTGCCTCCACAAAGCTCTTCAGCTCTTCCTCTGTTCCCCCCACAGTTTGTTTTTCTGTTTTCTTCATCCTTTCTTCAAATCTTCCTTATTTATGAGACTCCAGTGAACTTCCCACTAGGGTTTTTACGCAGGAAGACTCACTTTCAAACTGTGAATGCAACACATATCAGATAAGGCCTTCCAGACTCTCTTCCTGCCTCTCGCACAGGCTTTGTAGTTGTCTTAGGTAAATTATACGAAACTTAGGAAAATGCCACGCTTTTCAGCCATTCATACTTTAACAATAATGTTTTCCTCATGTTCTATAGAAGAGAACAAAGAAACACGTTTGCTCTCTTCAGATATAAACGCTCACATAAAATTCCCTCCCGGCATTCAGCAGTACCCAAGAGACAGGAGGAAGCCAGTGCAGAAGGCATGCTGCGTTCTCACCCGTCAGCAACATCTACGGACAACCGAAAAAAGCCCTGTAAATCCACAAAACCTCTCATTGTTCAGAGGAGGGCTGGGCATAAACACTCCCGGTGTTATCGTTGCAGGGCTGGTGCAGGTCTGAGTACACCTGCACAGCTCCTTGCTTCATGGATGCCTCTTCTGTTTTTCTGCACCAGAAACTCAGGCTTGGGGATCTGAGTGCCACGGTTACGATTACTAAAACATTGCCCACCAAAGCGTGTCCAACATGCTCAAGTCTTCAGCCAAGGAGATGGTGGGAGTTTCACCTGGTGAACTCGATAAGGACTGAGCACTACAGCACAGCAATTACAACACTGAGGATGACAACGCTGCTTTGCTGCTGATGGCCTTCAGCAGATGCTTCCGCTTACTGCATGCTTTACGCCAGACAGAGACTGAAGGCAGAGTGCCCAGGTCCTGACGGTCACCTAGGGCTGCCCACCTTCAGCAGGCTGCTGGTGATGGATGCCAGGTTAGCACCCTCCCATCTGAAGTCAATACTGTATCGAGCAAGTACAGACTTTTATCCCGTAAAAAAATGAAATAGTCCAGTACTACAACTTGCATTCTTCTATGTCAGAGAAACACCAGTTATGTCAATCAACTGCTTTCTTTCTTTGGCCATCACTGAAAAAACAGTTGGAAAAAAACCTTGTTATAGAACAAACACCACAGACAGCAAGAATGGACTTGATTTTTGTCATCAAAGGAGAATGCCAGAGATGCCTGTACTGATTAAACTTTTGTTCTCTTTTCATTAATTAAAAAATCGTACTCATTAAAATTCACTATATCAGAGTTTCCAAATCACCAGGAAAAAGGGGTTTTCAATTTGCCACAGCAAACAGCAGACTTGAAATGGCCTCTGCTGTCCACCTCCTGCCCACCACCAAGGAGCATGGCATCAGGCAGGTCACATAGCCCACGCTGTGAAGCAAACACCAACGTGTCCACACCACCACAGGATAGCCCTTGGGGTTCTCCTCCTTCCCAAACCCACTTAACCATCCAACCTTAGGGCACATGGGTGCATGAAGGTCAAATGCAGGGCATCATCAACAGGTTTGCAGAGGAAAGTGGTGCACCTGGCAGCTCAGTCACAATGCACTCCTCATCATGATCTGACCACATGGTTGCTGTTGTGATCATCTTCATTCACAAAGATAGAGATAGACAAGGGCCCTCTGCTCCCTCAGGCTCTACCTCTCCACTGAATCCTTCAATGCCATCAATCAGTTCTTCCTGCTGTCACTTGTGGGCAACAGACAATTGAGTCAGGCACCCAAATATCCACCTTGCCTGCACAAACCTGTCCAAACCTCAGGGCGCTGGTTTGCCCTCAGAGTTTAAAAGCACATTTCTTAGAATGGGGAAAAAAAAAACTGGAAATCACCAGGAACAGAAAATAAAAGTGAGCGTGGCCAAACCTGCTCAGCACAGCCACACGCCAGGTGTCACAAGATCAACATGTGCCCTGACACAACTTGCCCAGAACAAGCTTCTAAGCCCACCACCTTCCCTTGGACAGCCTGCAGCAGCCACAGGCACCACAGAGCAATCCTCTGGTGCATAAGCACCTCTGGCTTTGAGTAGAAGACTCCAAAAGCCTCCAGAGGAGACCACCACCTCCAGCCTCACCATGACTAGGTGAGACTCAAGGTGAGGCTTCACAGCACTTCCCATCACCTCCTGCGAGATGAAGGGTAAAATCAGGTACTCTATAAAAAGGCAAAAATCCTGTGTTACCTGGTCTCACATTCAGGAAAATGTGCTCCGATATTTTCTCAACTCCGTTTTGCTTGGCCAAGCACTGGTAGCAGCCCTTAAATGACCTCTGGGCATTCTTTATAACGATGCCTTTCTGCGGATTGGGAATGAACGTCATATTTTTGGGGAGAGGCTTGCCATCGCATTTTCTCAGCGTGAAATTTGAAACATCTGGATCTGTTAGTGGGCACACTAGCAGGATGTCACTGTCTTCTTTTCCATAGATCAGAGAATCAACAAGGAAGAGCACATTTGGATCTGTGAAGAAACGCAAAGACCTGTCAGAGAAGCTGACACTGCACAGGGAACTTCTGATGACCCTAACTCTGCAACTGGGCACTTACATCAGAGAAAGTTTTATGTTCAGGCCGTAAAACCAAGTATTACCCAATTCATGTTTAGCAAGGGACATTAAATTTTGTCTTAAGAGGGCAGCACAACAGGAGATGTGCAGTAGCATTCAATACCAGACACACTAAAGAATCATGTGCACTAAAAACAATCTTACTCTTTTTTTATTTTGAGATTGAGCTGCTTTTTTTGCCTTGTTTTGGTCCAAAAACCTCCACCCTCCACCCCCAACAACAGTAAACAGGTTTTCAGAGACCATTAAAAGTAATTTGCTTTTAGCTAGTGGCAGGGCTGTAAGGTTTCATGCCCACAGGAGGATTTTGAAGAAATTTATGAGCAAATGGAAGTTGAAAGGCACCTAAATTATGGTTTTCACTTCTGTAAAATACATAATCTAAATGAACACACATTGCTACCAGAGGAAGCACCAAACAACTTCTCTCTCTCTCTCCCTTCCCTGAAAGCAGGGGTTATTTTTAGCCTCCTTAGAAAAAATTGGGCATATAAACAGCATATCTGATTGAAAAATCGTCATGTAATCTTTCACAAGGTAACTTTTCTAAAGCATTTAATCTCAGCCAACCCCAGCACACAAACATACAGTACTTTAAATACTTTTACAACCAAAGTCAAAGCCCATGATAGGCGATGACCTTGAAATGCTAAGAACCTGGCCATTAATAGCAAACACAAAACCAAGACCGGTGCAGGGACAAACACTCTGTAAAAGTTTATTTCAGCTCCCATCTGACCTCCCTACAGAGTTGCATGAATTAGAAATGCAGAAACAGAGGGAAAAGTTTTCTTTCATGTTTTGCAAACTGGCTTCATACAACTTGAACAATTAGAGATCAACAAACCATAACTTAACAAGGAAGATTGGGAGGATTTGGTTAAGATGATAGACAACATCCATTTGGTTTAAGACAAGAGGTACCAGGCTAAAAATGAAGTATGGTACATTTAAGTAAGCAATAGGAAATGCTAAGTCAAAGGTTGCACATGACTGAACAGAGAAGTTACTGGCTGGTTTCTGGCTTAGAGTGAGGGTGAAATTTTAACCCCATTTGATAACGCTGCCCACGAAGACCCACTAACTAAGCTTTGACGTATCAGTCTAGAACCAGGGGATAGAGACTACTAACAAATGAAAAAGTAAAGCACGTCTGAACAGAATCAAAGTGTGACATTTTGCACATGGACATACTTAAAGAAATGCTACAAACAGCTGTCACTCCTAAGCTGGAAAAGCATAGACTTGGAAGCGCTCATTTAAATGTCCCTGCTGACAGCGACTTAACTAATTGGTTTCCTCTCAGTCCACTAGACAGAGCCAAGTTATCATCACTATACAGAAAGTATGGCTCCTCAGGATAAAAAAGACGTTTTTGAAAACAGAAGAAAGGAACAAAGACCTGTTTCACTAACTGCTGAAACTGCTGAAGGCCTTGGCTGGGGTAAGCAGAATTGCTGAGGTGCTCCCCTCCCATCTTCCATACCCTCTCTGGAAGGGAGAGATCATGGTAAGAAGACACAAATGGATTTCCTGTAGGGAATCCAGGCACAAAGCAAGCTGCTCATGGTCATATTCTTCCCTTCATGTCTTTCTACTCCAGGTATATCCTGGGTAGCACTTGCTTTCTGGGCACACCTCAGGCTTCCAAAACAAGATGTGGTGGTGCTTACCATTGCTCGCATCTGAAAAGACTTGAGATCAAAATCAAGAGATTTTTCTCTCTTATGTAGGTGTCTGAACTAGCTTGATGTTCACTAAACTTGCCTGGATAGGGACACAAACTGCTCTATAGACACAACACAGGTACTTTCTGCCAAACCAGAAAGGTGTAAGAGGTAAGCGCCTGTAGTCTGTCAACACTGTGTCATCCTCGGTCACAGAAGCATAGAAAAATTATTTTTAGTAGATCCAGACGGACGTAAGAGATAAACAGCTGCCACCACTTTATGCACTGCTTGGGACTGCACAGGATCGAGGTTCTTGGTCCCATTGTCCCTTCATGCCCAGCTTTACAACCCCACAAGTAGGTAAGCTCATGGTAGCATCTTCAAGGTGATGTAAGATGTCATTAAGCTACAGCCTATTGCAAATGATGGCCAACCTCACAAACATACTTATTTTACTGTGAGAAACTTGTAGAAATGAAGTTTACAAATTTTTCACACAATTAAGGCAAAGAAATTAACAACACGTTGCATGAGGGTGACACATCTTCTCTGATGCTCTGGTAATCATGCTCAGTAGGAGGGTTGCCTGCTATCCCAAGGCAAAGGAGTCACTCATGTAATGGAAGGCACAAACATCTCTATGATCACAGCTGTCTGGGATAATTACCATGACCTTCAGGAAAACAGTCATGGTAGATAAAGTTAACAATGTTTGTCACATATAGGTAAAATACGTGTCATGTTTCCTTTAGTCATAGTCTCAGAGAAACACAGAAGAAGGTCAGGAAAACTCATCCATGGCCGCTGCATGGCTATTTGGACAACTCAGGAGCAGTTAGACGAGCACTCTTTAAATTGTGTGGCCACTGTGTCAGATATCTTCCCTTGGGAAAACACTCTTTGCCATGCTGTGCTGGTATCTCCCTGTCTCAGAGAACAACCTTGCAGTTATTCTCAAAGAATTGGCAGGGTTCGGAGGAGGCACTTTGAGACAACCCCTCTCGGACAAGGAACTCTATTTCCAAGAAAGTGAATACTGTAGGACTTTTTTCCATCAACAGGGAAGAAAGACCACCAGAGCTATGCAAAGGAGAACCAAAATAACTGTCTTCCTTGGAAAGGAAAAGGGAATGCCAAGTATGGTAAACTGCCAGCTTGAGAGCAGCTGATGAAGCTACAGATAGGGAGCCAACAAAAGAAGAGAAGAAATCTGAAGAAAACACTGGACAAAGAAGAGGAGTAATCAAGGATTGGGAAAAAGTGTCAGAGCAGAGGCACTTTTTTTTTTCCCCATTTGAGACATTTCTGATCAGTCACAAGGCAGATCAGGAGCTGGAGGCAGAGGAATCATTGCTGTCTGCTGGCTTAAGCCTGAGAGAGCGGCCTCAAAAAGCCAAATCCTTTAGCTAACTGCCTCAATAAATCAAGAGCTTGGGGCCAAACCTTACATGACTCCATTCTGATGGACGACACGGAATTGAAAAGACCTTTCTACATACTGCTTGCTTCCTCACAGTACAAGTGACTCATACAACTGATTCAGGTCACTTGGCTAGCTTCTAGAAAGAGAGCTCAGGTATGTCTCACCACAAAAGAACAGGGATGTAAAGAGAAAGTCATCCAGAACTTTATTCATGACAAAGGCCATTGCAAGTAAAGCTGGGAGTGAGTTTTCTTTCTATCGGACAGGGAAGATTTCTTCTATCAGGCTCTGTTCTTCCTCTGTACCTCAAATTCATTCCCTCCTCCAGCACTTACTGTCCTATTATTTGGGGACTGGGAAGGGGGAGGGGAAAGTCAAAATAATGCCTTCGTTGATATTTACCTTTAACAAAAACATAAAAAGAGGTGACAATACTCCCTTTGCTTTCGCATATGTATCTGCCTATGTCTCTGACTGTTGCGTTTTTTGTGTACCACTCTTTCTCATTGGAACTCCTTGCTTTTGCTGATGGGTCCGAGTTCTGGAAACTCCAAGTCACAGGTCCATTCTCGTTGCACTTCAGCCTTAATTCCTCCCCTTTATTCACAACCAGTGAAGATTCTTCATGAGGCAGTGAACCACCTGGAAAAAAAAAAAAAGTACAAAATACAATGCCCATCAATACAACACTCTTTTTTTTTCTGCAGCAAAATTTGTATTTATAGTTGTATATATGCAGTTAATATTTTGGGAGTTATTTCTTAATAATACTTAGCTGCAATGGCAGTGTGCAATTCTACAGACACCTTTTGGCTTATAAGACTTTCAGCACACAGAGCAAATAACCACTGCAGAAGGAAACTGGCCTTTAGAAAACCATTCTAAACTAGTTTCAGATGCACCAGTTTCTGCAATGGTTTGGCTTTTGAACAGGAACAGACCCAAGCTATTTAAAAATTAAATTCAAGAACATATGAGCCTGATTCTACATGGCAGCACTTTTAATCATTCTTTGTCATTTACCCAGTATGTTGCCAAGAACTAAAGTTTCCTTGCTCAACAGTTATCTTTTTTTAACTGCTTTCTCATGTATTCAGAAGCTCCACTCACACTCTTAGACTAGAAGTGTCCAGTTTAATGAAGGCATCAGTACATGTTTTCCATACTTATTTCTTTAACTGAAGTGCTAATTCATCATTTCTTACCTCCAAAAACATTTAATGCAAAATATTCTTCAAGCTTCCATCCCAGCGCTACCAAATTATTTTCCCGGAGGTACCAATCTCCTAGCCACCAAAGCTGCTCTAAATGACCACTTAGCTTTTCCTTCACTGAACATGCCGCAACACAACTTTTAAAAAGTTGTCAAAAAATAAAGCTGTGTAAAATTAGCAGCCTCAATTCACAATTCCCAGCTACTTCCCGCCTTAAACTGCATACTTGGAAAAAGAAGCACATTCAGGCTTCTCTGGCTCTACTGTTAAGATAAGTCAAGCAGAGGGTTGCTGAGTTAGCACATCCCTCATGTGAAAGTCTCGGTGAGTCTACAAAATGGCATTCATAAACAAAAACATGTAGAAATTCTCACCACTATGGACCTACTTGAACATCAGAAGAACATAAGCAAATACTGTGGTGGTCTTGCAGAAACAAACCTTTCCCCTTTCAGAGTAGCTCTTTATTCCTACGAGTAACCCTTAGCGTACAATAACTGTGCTGTTAGCTAACATCCCTCTCATGTGAAGCACAGTTGTACAAGATTGTACAACATCCATATGTAGTAGCAGAGTCACACCACTGAAAATACTACTCGCATTCAAAAACACACTCTGCGGCTCCTTTCAGAGCCGAATTTCCCTACCCACACAGATAACGACAGACGTTCAAGCAAAACAATCGGATAATTAGTTGGGATGAGATTATATACTCCAGACTTAATTCACTCATCTCACAGCTTTAGTTGTTCTTAAGGTATATACTTGATTAACACCAAGTCAGGTAACTGCTTCTCTTCCCAACAAATCCACCACCGAGCAGGAAGCAAAGGATGGTCAGACCACCTGCAGAGTCTAATTATTTTGTTTACAGCCTGGGTTTTGGAGACAGCCCTTGCTCTCTCCGCATCTCCCTCGGATTAAAATTTATTTATCAGTGCTAAACCCAACAGGCAGTCATTTTTCCAGCGCCACGAGAAATTTTCCACATGAGGTCCGCTAACCCTGCATATACACTTCCATGACTGAACACATAAACAACCATCCTAGAAATAATAATTGCTGGAAAAAGGTAGGAAAAAAAACACTTTCGATTTCAAAACTGCTACCTCAAAGAGCAGGTGTGAGCCTGAGTCATGCCAGAGCAGCTCATCACAGGGAGCGAAAACCCAAGGCTCAGGAGCACAGGTCCCAGCCAGCAGCACCTCTGTAGACAGGACAGCTGCAAAAACCCTTTGCCCAGGACAGAGCGAGGTATGACAGCACGGTCAGGAGAAACCAGGAGATCTCTGATTTGCAAACCCTCAGATCAGAGAAAGCAACTTTCAGCACCTGAGAAGGCAGAGGGCAAAGACCTCAGAGAAACTCTCTGGAAGCACACAGCCAACCAAGGCAGCCCCTACCTGACACTCTTCTCTCAACAACAAGAAGAAAACCCAACAGGACACCCTGGCCGTGCAAATAGAAACATGCTCACGTCCAACCGAAACTCCCGGTGCACCACATACGCGTGCGCACGGACAGGGGACGCTCCCTGCCCGTGCCTCGGTGGAGACACGCTCTTGGCTACAGCAAGGGCTGACTTCCTTCCAAGACCCTCAGAGCTACACAGAGAGTAAAGTCATTTACGTGCCCGTGAGGAAACACCGAGCCAGCCCGGCTTGCTGAAATGCTCCCTCCGCTTCTCTCCCAGGTATTTATACAGCAGATTAACGACACACGGGATAACCGTAGGCTCCAAACTGCCCAGACAAAACCAGCCCTTGGAGTCCTCCTCCTTCCCAAACCCACTTAACCACCCAACCCCAGGGCACAAGGGCGTGTGAAGGCCAAATGTAGGGCACCATCAACAGGTTTGCAGAGGAAAGGGACAGATCAGAGGTAGCAGCGCATAGATTAATGTCATAACTGACCTACTAAATGAGCGTGGATCTGTCAAACCACACGCACTGCTGCGATGTGTGCAAATGCTGACGGGTGCTGCGGCAACAAACCCTCCCCCTTCTGAAGACTGGCTCTTTAGTCCTACAAATAGCCATTGCCCCATGGCCCTCTAATGCATAGCACAGTATTGAACGGCTGGACTGGATGTATAATAGCCGTGCCTGAGCCTGGGGGGAACATTTCTCAAAAACCAACACCACTCGCATGCAAAAACACACTCTGCGGCTCCTTTCAGAGCTGAATCTCTCTACCCGCACAGATAACGACAGACGTTCAAGCAAAACAATCGGATAATTAGTTGGGATGAGGTTATATACTCCAGACTTAATTCACTCATCGCACAGCTTTACTTGTTCTCATATACTGGATTAAGACCAGGTCAGGTAACTGCTCCTCTTCCCGACTAATCCACCACAGAGTAGGAAGCAAAGGACGGTCAGACCACCTGCAGAGTCTAATTACTGGGTTTTTTAGGGAGCGTTGGTTCTTTCCCCATCTCCCTTGGATGAAGATTTTATTTACCAGTGCTAAACCCAACAGGCAGTCCACCAGCACCTGCTTATCCAGCACCACCAGAAATTTTCTACAAAGTCCACTAGTCCTCTAGGCAAACTCACATGACTGAACATATAAACAAGCATTCTAGAACTAGTAATTGCCAGAAAGATTAAGGAAAACATCATTTCATACATCTATGCAATGTTTGTGACTTTTACCTACTCTTTCATCTAGCACTCATCATACCCACTTAGGATAGGAATTCAAAATTTTGTAACACTTACTATTGGACTATGGACTATCAGAACACTGGCCAGTGACAAGTGGTGTTCCTCGGGGGTCGGTAATGAGGCCGGCACTGTTTAATATCTTTGTTGGCGACGTGGACAGTGGGATCGAGTGCACCCTCGGCAAGTTTGTTGATGACACCAAGTTGTGTGCTGCTGTTGACATGCTGGAGAGAAGGGATGCCATCCAGATGGACCTTGACAGGCTGGAGAGGTAGGCCTGTATGAACCTCATGAAGTTCAACAAGGCCAAATGCAAGGTCCTGAACATGGGTCAGGGCAATCCCAAGCACAAGTACATGCTGGGTGGAGAATGGATTGAAAGTAGCCCTGAGGAGAAGGACTTGGGAGTGTTGGTTGAGGAGAAGCTCAACATGAGCCAGCAATGTGCGCTGGCAGCACAAAAATCCAGCTGTCTCTGGGCTGCATCCAAAGAAGTGTGGCCAGCAGGTTGAGGGAGGTGATTCTGCCCCTCTACTCTGCTCTTATAAGACCCCACCTGGAGTACTGTGGTCAGCTCTGGGATCCCCAACATAAGAAGGACATGGAGCTGTTGGAGCGAGTCCAGGGGAGGGCCAAGAGGGCTGGAGCACCTCTCCTATGAAGACAGGCTGATAGTGTTGGGATTGTTCAGCCTGGAGAAGAGGAGACACCGGAGAAACCTTTCAGCAGCCTTCCAGTATCTAAAGGGGGCCTACAAGAAAGCTGGAGTGGGACTTTTTACAAGGGCATGTAGTGATAGGACAAGGGGTAATGGCTTTAAACTGAAAGATGGTAGATTTAGATTAGATTTCAGAAATAATTTTTTTACAGTGAGGGTGGTGAGGCAGTGGAGCAGGTTGCCCAGAGGAGTTGTAGATGCCCCATCCCTGAAGCTGTTCAAGGCCAGGCTGGATGCGGCTTTGAGCAACCTGGTCTAGTGGCAGGTATCTCTGCCCATGGCAGGGGGGTTGGAACTAAATGATCTTGAAGGTCCCTTCCAACCCAAACCATTCTATGATTCTATCTAGCAAGTTGGTGGAAAGTTTTTAAAGGTGGCAAACAACACAGCAGAGCATGTGCCTCCATCTAGAGTCACAAGAAATATGTCACGTACCAAAGCTGGGGAAAGAAAGGCGTAGACGGAACAAGCACACTGTGGCACTCCACAACAAAAGCCACCATATTCCAGTTGAAACCATCACTCATATTTCAACACAATCTTGTTACAGTTCCTTTACGCAGCCTACAAATTCTCAGCGAAACAGTTTACAAATTGAGTTAATGCCTTGTGCAAAGGATTCCCACAATCTAAAGTGGGTTTTTTCTGTTGCCTTCCGAAAATAACACGTCTTCAAGAAAAGTATGGCAGTATAAGAACAGGTTGTAAGTGCAAGAACTATCAGATGTGCTTAGTATTAAGCATCTAAATGTCGCCTGTCTTATCGATATGAATTAAAATGGTGCTTAGAAAGATAGAAATTACTTTCTTTCTCCATTTTGGAGGAACAATTAAGTAACAGAAATCTGAGATTTTAACCAACAACTTGTAATCCAATGTACTAATCCCCACAGCAAGTGTCCATCTGCTATCTCTTGATCTTTTCTCAGGCTGCTAAGGCCTCACATCCAAGACTGCTCCATCTGTACCACATCTAAGGCATGACAGGGCTCCTCCCAGCCCGCTGTTGCTCTTGCACACTCCAATAACACAAATCATGAGCATAACCATCCTCTCTCTACCTCCTTACACCTTGGAAAAGGAGGTGGACCACTACCTCACTATTCAGCTAAGTGTTACCACCTCCATGAAGCCCACCTGACCACAGGTACCCCACAGAACAAGGGGAAGCGAGGAAGCCCATCCTCTGCCCTCATAGTTCCTGCAGGCTAGTAGAGGCAGATGATCCCACTGTTGGTCAAGAGCTGTGGATCTCACTGCAAAACATCCAACACTCTCCACACACTGGATAGCCAGAGTACCACACTGGGGCTCTGGATAACCCTCTAGGATTGTTATCAAAGGCAACTAGCAGGAAATTATTTATGCTAACAAAATATGTTGATAATGGCAAATATTTAATAATTAACAACAAATTAAAAAAGAAATAAATTTGCAAAGCTCAGAGTTGGACAGCCCAAGACTCATTTTGGATGTTTTAAATTTGTGTCCCACAGCTGAAAAGAGTCACTTCCACTATCCTAGCTTCTCCTTGTAATATAACAAATCTAAGCTCAAATCTACAATGCTGGGATCAGTTGTGAACAAGGCTGTGTAACTGAAAAAAGAAGCAGAATATATGAATATATTACAAGCAGCTTCCTAAGCCGTAAAAATTAAGGCAGAGAGAGGAAAGGGGGTGAGTACAGCAGTTGTGACTTCTGCATGCAGAAGGAACATCTGGAAAA